GCGGCGTAGTGAAAATCTCTCTCCCCCCCCCTAAAAAAAAAAAAAAAAAAATCCTACCCCAAACTAAGCTGGTGTCTACTTATGATACCTTTTTAACATTTCTTGATGTGTCATGGTCTTTGACAGAAAAAGATTCCCCACCTCTCTGTACTAGACTACAATAAAGATTGTGGACATCAGAATGGTGCTGAAGATGGGTCAGGGGGATGATGTTTGTTTGAATCACTGATGAGAAATTTACTTAGTTAAATCATAATTTTATAGTAGTAGGACAATGCATTGGACATTTTGCTATCTAAGGTATATTTTCTTTCCCTCCTAGAACTATTCATCACTAAAACAATCTTTCATTTAAAAAGATAAGGTGTATACGCAGTGTTTCGTAGCCATGGATTAGGTCACCTGGGAAGTCACAATGTATTTTTCCACATGAAAATGGGCAAGGTTTTCCCGACAACCCAATGAAAGTGCTGTAACAGAAAGGAGGTGCACCGAGTTCTATGTGCTTGCCATGTAAGGTGACCTTCTAATTTCTGTCATTTCACATTTGTAAGAAAATTTGCACTGATAAAGTAAAACTTTAGTCATATAATCTTCTGCCCTCAGGGAGAAATCTTTCCATAAAATTTCAGTTGTTAACTAACTCCAAGTAAATTTAGAAAGGCCTGAATTTAATATTTGGCTAAAAAGAATGCCATGAACAACTAAGTAAAGAGTAATTTCCCTAGAAATCAAATATAATCAGCCCCTCCCCCCAAATCCATAAAGGAGTTTGCTCCAGAATAGTTGCTGTGGTCCAGAGTTAGGTAGAGAGTATAGCTTTGCTTTCAGGCCTACTAGCTACTCCTGAGCTCATTATGTAAAAATTCAGGTATTTTTAATCCCCACACTCATAAAGTCTAAACAGGGAAGATGGGATTGATTGTAACTTCAAATTTTATGCACGAACACATCTGGAGAAGTCAAAGTTGGGATAGAACTGAGTGGTGGTCAGAAGAAATTTTTCTGAGAAGGTACAAATCAAGGCAACATACAATAGATGAGGTTTTGGTACACATGAATTCTACTCCAACCTGCTATCATCCCAAACTTAAAATACTAAAGTGATTCAGAATTATTTTTTCAAGCAGCTGAGGTATACATTTCTAACTTAATCCAAAGAGTGAATGTAGTAAACCTGGCTATCATAAATGCATGTTGCCAGCTCCTCTTGACTGTTTATGATTCCTAACACATTATAACAAGAGGAAAAGTAATCTAGAGTGGGGAAAAGCTGCATACACCATAAGCAGGACCCCAGTGTTCACTAAATCTATCACTGAGCCCTAATGGAAATACCAAACAACCTGGGAAAGACATTTCATTCTCTTAAAGGCCTAGAAACAAAGACACAATCAATCAATCAGTGTAATCTGAGCTCTCAGGCTGGTTTTCCTGGTGGTCACTAGAGGCAGCTAAAGGCCTGTTTTGGCCAGGGTATACAGTAAAGACAGACGGAGATCTAGCATGCTTACTGTCTAAAGGTATGGAGACTGATGGACTGCATGCAAGAGAGATGAATGGAATCTATGGCAGCACAGTTCCTATTTGGGCAAGTCCAGGGGCTGCCAAGATGAGAGGCTACCAGGTAACAGGCCACACTGACCCTGAGGCTTCCCATTCTCTTGCTGAGACGGGGGAAGAAGATAGTGAAGAAACATTTGAAATGATATTATATTTGAAATGAGGTACAGATGATGATTTTCATACCCAGCATTCCCAACCATCAACCCAAATCACCTCAAACTGCAGAGGAGTGTTGCAGCGACTAGCAGTAGTAAGAGACGTGATTGGCGAAAACATAAGGCTGTATCCATTTCGACACTCCTCTTCTCCTGGGTGAGAAGGGCCAGGTGTGAGCTGGGGGCTCTTTGAGCCTGAACTGGGAGGGGGTGGGGTGACCGGAGACAAAGGCCGAAGTAACTTGGTGACATTCTGCTCCATCAGATAGCGAGACTTCCATTTCTTTAATGGGCTCAACAAGTCTGTGAAATACAAAGCTCAGATGAAAGTTTGAAACCACAGTTTAATGGGAGGCAGCTCTGTAGCAAAACCATTAATCGCTAATCTACAATGGCTCTTAGCTCCTCTTGTGCCTTATGTCATTGAACTATGTCCTTCAATCAAACCAAAAGCCCGAAATAACCCTCTTTAACCACTACACTCAGAACCAGTCTTAAAATGTCCTGTCTTCTAGAGAAACTTCAGCTGAATCTGACAATTCTAATCACTGATTCCTAGCTAATTTAAAATTTTTAAAAATAGCTATTTTATTTAATTCTCTTTATTTATTTAAATTTGAGCAGAGACAGACAGAGAGAGAGAGGAAGAAAGAGAGAGAACAAGCTGCTAGGTTCAACTGTGGTTGGTCAAGTGGGAGTCCAGCACCCTTAACCACCATGCCACACGCCGGCCCCAGACCCTAGCTAATTTAGTCTCTTCTGGAGCAAAATATAATTTACTGTCTTTCACACCAAGTTTCTGAAAATTCTTTTTTTTTTTGGACAGGTTTTGCAATAGGGCGCATATGCTCACCAGGAAGAGATAGACAGAAAGCGAGAAATCACCCTCCCCCCCGCCTGGGGGATGGCCATGCTGCAATCCCTTCTCCTCCATTCTCCTCTTGGGATCTTGGGCACACACGCACATTCCCCTGGCGTGAGTTTAAGCCACCGGGTCCAGGACTTGAACCACAGTCGACAATATGGGTGTCCAGCGACATAGCCATACTGCTGGTCCTAGAGTTTCCAAAAATTCTACAACCTTGTTATTTCATTAAAAACACCCTATTTAATAGTCACATTACCAGGTATTGTGATGCTAAACCCTTATTCCTTTCATCTCTTACATATATGTTATCCTTTTCTACAGCTCTTTCTATAACTGTCTGAATAGACAATAGTTATACTTGAGTTTTTGACCCACATCTAGTCCCTGGGATTAAGAGTGCTTAAAAGTGTAAAATGATTTCTACAGAAATTTCCCCCAATCATTTGAAAATGCTAGTCTGGTACTCCTTTTTCTTTTTTGGAGAGGTTTTCGCTATAGGACGTGTGCGCTCGCCAGACAGACAGAGAGAGACATAGAGACAGAAAGTGAGACATCACCCCACATGGGGGATGACCACGCTGCAATCCCTTCTCCATTCTCTTCTTGGGATCTTGGGCACGCACACACATGCGCCCGGCGTGAGTTCTAAGCCACCAGGTCCGGGACGCGAACCGCGGTCGACTATGTGGGAGCCCAGTGACATAGCCATTACGCTAACTGCTGGGTCCCTGGTACTCCTTTTTTGATTGAATGATCCTACTTTTTTTTTAAAGGGAGAGATTTTCACTATAGGGTGTGTGTACTCACTGAGATGAAAGAGACAGAGAGACAGAAAGTGAAAAATCACCCTCTGGGAGGATGGCCATGCAGCAATCCCTTCTCTATGCTTTTCCTGGGATCTTGGGCATGTATGCACACATACCCGGTGTGATTTTTTTCTTTTTAGAATTATTTAACTTTATTTATTTATTTTTTAATTTGGTCAGAGGGTCAGAATGAGAGAGAGAGAGAGAGGGAGAGAGAGAGAGCAAGCCACCAGGTCCGGGACTTGAACCACGGTTGGCCACGTGGGAGTCCAGCGATGTAACCACTGCACCATCTGCTGGTCTCAAAATATTCCTACTTTTTATACATATGTCCACTTATAAAACCAAGGTACTATAAACTTTAGTCACCATCCAGGCCAAGGTAACTATCTCACTGAACTCTCAGAGGAAAAATACACTTCTATTGATTTCATTTATAGTAAAAAAGAAACCTATTTACTTAATATCTACTACATGAATATCGCTGAACTAGGTATGTGAGGAGAAATAGACTTCATATAGTCTATGCGTAAGGGGGTGTACAAGTTCATAAAAAAGAGAAAACACATATAAAACATGTTCAGTATTAGTATGATCAGTGATTAGACTGGTATATGCTAGTTTAAAAAAAGCTGTATGTGTGTGTGTATGTTGTAGTTTTTGCTATTGGGACTGTGTGCTCACCAGAAAGAGAAAGTCAAAGAAATCACCCCCACACCCCCCGAGTGGACGGCCACATCGCAATTCCTTCCCTGTTCTCTTCACTGGATTTTGATTTGGGCATGCATGTGCACACACTGGTGTATTTTTTTTTTTTTGAGAGGTTTTTGCTATAGGGCGCGTGTGCTCGCCAGACAGACAAAGAGAGACATAGAGACAGAAAGTGAGAAATCATCCCCCAGGGGGGATGGTCACACTGCAATCCCTTCTCCTCCATTCTCCTCTCGGGATCTTGGGCACGCATGTACATGCGCCTGGCGTGAGTTTTAAGTCATCGGGTCCAGGACACGAACCGCGGTCGACTACGTGGGAGTCCAGCGACATAGCCATTACGCTAACTGCTGGTTCCCCACACTGGTGTATTTTTCAAGTCACCGGGTCCGGGACTTGAACCAGTCGGCTATGTGGGAACCATCTGTCACTGGCTAGTCCAAAAATCTGCATTTTTAAGTGATTATTATATACCAAGCAGTAAACTATGTGCTTTATGTAGAGTATCTGACTTAACTGTAATAACTCCATAAATCAAACACTATAATCTCCCGCATGTTAAAGAGACTTCTATGCAAAGACAGGCAATCTAGCTGCCATTTAAGCTCTTAGTCATGAGATTAAATTATAACATATCCCCAAGGTTTGGTGGAAGGAATAAGATCTATCTCAGATCTTTAAGGAAAAGTTTTGGGTCAATATGTTATAACCAGAGTTATACTGCACGTGAACCTGGCAACAATGGTTACGATGAAATAGGTAAGTAGAAACCATCAGAGGTAACGGAGAAGTTAACATAAAGACTTATTAGGAAACACTGAGCTACAGTAGTAGATGTTTAAGAGAGGGAAGAATAAATGCAATAAGTACTATAACTAATGTATTTTCCTTCACTTATTTATTTATTTATTTTTTCGGAGAGGTTTATGCTATAGGATGCGTGTGCTCGCCAGAAAGACAGAGAATGAGAAATCACCCCCCCAGGGGGGATGGCCACGCTACAATCCCTTCTCCTCCATTCTCCTCTTGGGATCTTGGGCACGCACTCAAACGTGCCCAGTGTGAGTTTAAGCCACTGGGTCCAGGACTTGAAACACGGCCGGGGACTCGAACCATGGTTGATTACATGAGTGTCTAGCGACATAGCCATTACGCTAACTGCTGGTCCTGTATTTTCCTTCCTCATAACTCAGAGTGTTTTATTTTCCTAGATTGGGAGTATATTCATATTTTCTTTTCGTTCCAGATACTAAATATTTTTTGTTTCTTTAAAAAAAGTGCCAAGTATAAAAAACAAACATGAAATTCAGTTTGTGTCTGGAATAACTTTCACATACTTCAAGAGTCTTTAAGTGATATAGTAAAGTTATAAAAAAAGATAAAAACTACCATGTACTAATTAATGTATCAGGCATTCATTTAATATATTGCTGATTATTCATTATGATACTGTATTCAACAAATATATACATATTTATTACATGTATATACAATATTCCATGTAATATTGTATTCAAAACTGACCTGACATCTGCCCTTGAGAAGACTATGGGTCAGCTGCCTAGTTTAAAATTGTTTTCTTTAGGTTTTTGCCACAGGGTGCATGTATGCACCAGAGAGAGAGAGAGAGAGAGAGAGAGAGAGAGAGAGAGAGAGAGAGAGAGGGAGAGAGAGAGAGGGAGGGAGGGAGGGAGGGAGACAGACAAATCACCCTCTTAGGGATGGCCATGCCACAATGCCTTCTTCTCTTGGGATTATGAGCATGCACGCGCACCTGCCTGGCATGATTTTTAAGCCACCGGATATAAGATGTGACCTTGATGTAAGTCAGCCATATGGGAATCCAGTGCTTTAATCACCATGCCACCTAGTTTTTAAAAATTTTCATGTTTTCCATACAGTGTTCAAATTTTATGTGGTTAATTTATTCGTCCATCCTTTTTTCCTTTTACTCAAGGAATTCCCACAATTATATAAACAAATGCTGACAGTCACAAAAACACACATAACTTGAAATCATACTCAATACACTACTAGTATCCGGATGTGTTTTTATCTAGATCCTTTTTTCTGGAAATGGCCTAATTGACTCTTGCCTTATCTACATTATTCAATAACTATTCTTTTTTTTTTTTTTGGAGAGTTTTTTCCTATAGGGCGCGTGCGCTCGCCAGACAGACAGAGAGAGACAGAGAGACAGAAAGCTAGCTTAGCTTCACCCCCCAGGGGTGATGGTCACGCTGCAATCCCTTCTCCTCTATTCTCCTCTCGGGATCTTGAGCACGCATGCACACGTGCCCGGCGTGAGTTTTAAGCCACCGGGTCCCGTGACCCGGGGTTGACTACGTGGGAGTCCAGTGACACAGCCATTACGCTAACTGCTGGTTCCCAATATTATTCAATAACTATTGACCCTCGGAATACATGGCAAAACTTTCCTATGACAATGAAAACAAACTTATAGATTGAGTTTTTTCTTAAAGACAGAGTTTTGCAATAGCGCATGTTCGCTTGCCGGAGAGATGGAGAAAAACAGAGAGCCAGAGAGCGAGAAATCATCCCCCGAGGAGGGATGGCCACGCTGTAATCCCTTTCTCCTCCATTTTTCTTTTGGGATTTTGGGCACACATGTACACACTCCTGGTGTGAATTTTAAGCTGCCAGGACCCGGGCTTGAACTGTGGTAAACTATGTGGGAGTCCAGCAACTTAAGTGTTATACCATCTGTTTCTTCCTGGATTGAGTTGTTTTCTTATTTTTATTTTTTTTAAGAGATTTTTGCTACAGGGTGTGTATGCTCACTGCAAAGAAATTACCCTTCCAGGGGGGACAGCCACACTGCAATCCCTTCTCCTCCATTCTCCTCTGGGATTTGGGGCATACAAGCACATGTGCTCAGTGTGTTTTAAGCTGCCAGG